GCTAACATCTGGGAGTCCATGGAGCTGGTCGCTAACATCTGGGAGTCCATGGAACTGGTCGCTAACATCTGGGAGTCCATGGCGCTAGAGGCTAACATCTGGGAGTCCATGGCGTTGGACGCTAGCATCTGGGAGTCCATGGTGTTGGACGCTAGCATCTGGGAGTCCATGGTGTTGGACGCTAACATATGGGTCTCCATGGTGTTAGAAGCTAACATATGGGATTCTTGGGCCATCAAGGGATCCACTCCTACTGTTACAGAAGTCTCCCCCACTAATGTAGTAGGCAGCTCCTGTGCTACCGTATTATAGGATTCCAGCGCTGTCGTCGAGGGCACCTCCAGGGACTGCGACACGGTCATCGTTGACAGCTCCGTGGTCACCACAGACTGAACAGAGATCTCCAGCGCCACAGTTGCCACAGGCTGCCCTGGCAACTCTGGCGCCCCAGGCTGCCCCGGCAACTCCAACACCCCTGTTGCCAGAGGCTGCCCCAAAAGCTCCAGTGCTCCAGCTGCCCCAGACTGCCCCGAGAACTCCAGTGCCCCAGTTGCCATGAGCTGCCCAGACAACTCCAGTGCCCCAGCTGCCACAGACTGCCCCGACAACTCCAGTGCCCTAGTTACCGAAGGCAGCCCCGGCAACTCTGGCACCCCAGTCACCGAAGGCTGCCCCGGCAACTCCAGCGCTGTCGTTGCCATTGACTGTCCTGGCAACTCCAGCACCATTGCTGCCTCAGGCTGCCCCAGCAACCCTGTGGCCGTTGTCACCTCAGGCTGCCCAGGATGTTCCACCGCCGTCATCCCCACAGGCTGCTCCAATTCTGTCGTCGTCACAGGCTGATCGGTCAACTCCATTGCTACTGTTACCGCCGGCTGCCCTGGCAACTCTACTGTAGACGCAGTCACCGCAGGCAGCCCTGGCAACTCCTGTGCCATCACAGGTGGCTCTGGTACCTCCTGTGGTGGCTCCAACCCCATGGATGATGCTGGAAGCCCTGGCAATTCCTGCGACAACTGTGGCACTGATGTCACAGAGGGCCCCGGCAACTCAGGCACTGCTGTTGCAGGGGGCCCTAGTAACTCAGGCATTGGGGTAGAAAGGGGCCCTGGCAACTCTGACACCGGGGTAGCAGAGGGCCCTGGTAACTCCAGCACTGGAGTCACAGGGGGCACCTGCAACTCCGGCATGGAGGTCGCAGGTGGCCCCGGCAACTCCGTCGCTGAGGCCACCGACGACTCCGGCAACTCCAACGCTGTGCTCTTGGGCAGCTCCAACTCCTGTGGTCTTGTCGAGGATGAATCTGCAATCTCCGATGGTGCTTCTACGGGCTGCTCTGGCAATCTTAGCACTTCAGTTGCAGATGACTCTGGAAAATCCATTATTGTTGATGTGCTTGGCTCAGAATACACCTCAGTAGGTGTCTCTGATGATGTAAGGGTTTCTGATGGCTCTATCACTTTTTTTGCTATGGGAGGCTCTAACATGATCTTTGATGGCTCTGGAGGTGTGCTCTCCAAAGATTTCAACACAGACTTCATCTTAGACTCCACTGACTTTGTTACAACTGGCTCAGATGGCTTCAGGACTACTGTTGTAGTCACTGGTGCTGTGGCAAAGGAATCCAGAATCTTTGTCATGGATGGTTCCTGTGTTACTGCCTCAGACCGCTCTGACTGCACTGAGACTACTGATGTAGATGCTACCGACAGTTCTGCAGTTGTTGCAGTTGGCGCCATAGTTTCTAAGGTGTGTGGCTCCAATACCTCCACGGATACTACAGGAGGTTCTAGCACAACTGCAGAAGACTCAGTGGTCTCAGATAGGTCAAATGCTCTTACGGGATGCTCCAGTGCCATCGGTGAAGGTTCAGAATCAAACTTCAAAAAGGAATCTGATTCTAAATCTATGTTCCCATCATGATGTGATTTCGGCTTTGATTCAGATTCTTCTGGCTGCCTTTTGTACTTTTTTTCCTTTTCTTTCTTCTTTTTCTTCTTTTTATTTTTGTGCTTTTTATGCTTCTTTGACTTTTTGGTAGGAATTTCATCAGTAGGATCTGTTTGTACAGACACACATCTTTTTCTGGAGGCCTCCTTCATGTCTGAAATTAAGGGAAATGAATTGGAATTTTTCTATCGTTCTCCCACAGTACATTTAGTAAGTCATATGAGCCAAGATTTACATTCCATATTAAAACACACAAGTGTAACAATTCTTGCTAAGTAAAGTTACCAAAGAAACTACTACGCATAAAATAATTACTTGAAAACTGATTATCTTTCTAATACTTCATCCAACAAGTAAAGCATGGGTAAAGCTCTTAGTTTTCTCAAGTTTTTAAGAGGTACATTAAGATGCACTTTACTATATTCACCTAAGTATTCTCAATCTCAAATTACCTTTAAACTACTTAGAAATGTTGTGTTACCATCATTACAATTTCTATTAAAAACATCCTCTGCACATAATTTTAGCAATCATGTTTTATAACCCTTATATATACAAGATACAACACAGCACACAAGTTCTGGAACAGACTGCCTGCCTTTGAATCCTAAATCAACCATACTCACTAGATGAGTGAACTTGGCCAAATTACTAATACTGCTCTCCCAGTTAGAGGGTTAAATATACAAAAGATAAATTAAACTTTATTAGTTAAAAAAAAAAAAAAAGTGAACAATGCCGGGCACACAGTAAACCCTCAGTAACTGCTAGTGATTGCTTTTATATAGTATACAAAGGTCTCAACAACAAAGCATCAATAAGGAACTTGAACTTTATCTTATCACACCCATGCTATATACATTGTAATAAAAATGGTATCTTCCTCCCAGTAGTCTAATATTACCAAGGGAAATAATTATTAATTTTCGTTTAGGGATTCTCACAGCCTTTCACATAAAGATTTCAATTTGCCCACCTGAAAAAATAAAGTGATTTCTAACTACTTTCCTCTAATACATGATTAAATTAGATAAACCTTAGTGATTCCAGAAAAGCTGATGACAAATTCAGGTCTTTAAGATCATGGGGGAAAAAGTAACAGATCTAATAGGACCTATGTTATATACTATATACTGAATTACACTTCAAGTAAAAGTTCAAAAGTCAGGAATCTAATGGCCAATGCACACAAAAAATTATCAAAAATACCTCAACCCTCCTTTCAAAAACCAAACAAAGACAGTTATTTTTGTAGTTAAACATAGCTCCATTTCCAAACATATGATTTTTAAAAAGCTAAATATTCAAACAATTATTCTACATTCGATGTTATTTTTAAGAATTCAAAAACAAGGTAATTTTCTACACATGGGCCTTAAAATAAAAGTTCTAGGGTTTTAAAATCATTACTGATTTGGCCCAGACACCTGTATCTTCCAAAACTGATGTTTACACAAGTGGTTCAATGAAAACTCGGCATTCAAAATCCCATTACTGAGGCACTACAAGATCTAATCAAATAAAGTCATATTCTACCAGCAAAACAAACATGTGCATAATGCTCACATTTCAATATAACTATTTTTAAACAAGGATTTAAACAGGAAAACCTTTGGTAAATTATCTATCTGATGATTTAAGTCTAAAAAAACATTTTAAATATCCTGCAGTCAAGAAATAACCTATTAACCATTCAGGAAATTTTAAAACAATTTTGGGGATAGCGGATTATCTCCAACTTACCTGGCTTACATCGTAGCTCTGTATCTAAGACCCCAGAAAGTACTTCCTCTATCTTCTGAACTATTTCTTCATTTGGTAGGTTCCTGGCAGAGGCAGCTGCATCACCTGCCTGGTTTCCTTCAATAGGTGTATTTGTTTCACCATTAAGTTGGCCTTCACTCCTTCCACTTGACAAGAAAAGTTATCAAAATGATTAGTATTTTCATGACTCCGCATGACAATCTTACATTGCACATATATCGTTTCTTTATTCTTTCAGATTATATCTCACGTCCTTATATAGGAGTTCCTTAGCATCTTCTCCTTATACTATATTTTCACACAACCCAAAGTTCAAAAATATAAGAGGAAATATCTTAACAGTAAACTTTTAATTAAATACCCCCAGAAATCTAAATTGAAACATATATATTACGGGAGAAAAATTAAGCTCACACCACAAATTCAAAAAGATTTAAGACTTAACGTAGTTTTAAAAAAATCAGCCACCATGAAGCTGCACCTGTGTACAGCTCACACTATGCATCAACCATGTCTAAGCACATAAAAGTTAGCCTCTAACATATTAAAGAAAAAGAGAGTAACCTGTAGCCTCTAGTCAAATTTAGGCCTATCAATTAATAAAGTGCCATAAAGCTTAAAAAGAGAACACACACGTAACTTGTATTAATTCCACAAAAAAACTTGTTCAAAAAAATTCATGTGAAACAAGTGAGAATTCATTTACACAGTTAAGTGAATACATGGCTTAACATTTTCAATTCATGAATTCAAACCAATCTTAGCAGAACATGTCACTTACCTAGCTATTTTTACTACTTCTGCAAAAAGTACAATGTTGTTTTGAAAACGTAAGCATTATCAACGTTTATTTAACTTCAATTTTAGCTAACAAAACAGAGCAAAAACCATTCACTGATAAAAGTATGAATGGTTACCAAAAAAATCAGTACTTAACTAAATGTTACTAATGGTCGTTTGCTTTTCAAATAGTGAATCATATAGTAATGTTTGTTAACTAATAATTAATGTCATATTTCAAAACTCATTTTGTGCTAGCAAAACTAAGATCTGCACTACTATTGATTTTATAAATGAGCAAAAACACACAGAAGACAAAAACCTAGCTGAAGGTCACAACTATTTGATGGTAAAGCTGCTGTTCAAAACCAGAGGCCATAATTAAAGGACACATATATAAAGAAACTTAACTAAGACCATAAACATCAGTTTCCTAGCCAAAACAAATGTACATGAACAATAGGGAAAAGGAAATAAATAAAAAATTTGTTTTTAGACTAATAATGTATTACACATTTTTTAAAAAACTGAAATTTAACCCCAGTAATGGATCACTGTCTACTGTTTAAGACGTTCTTTCTGTACTTTACCTTATTCGAAGGATAAGAAGGTATATCTGTACATAATCACCTTACCAAAAAAGTCATCCATTTTAAAATCAGAAAACTAAGACAATGAGCCAGGTGATGAAAAAGTAATCACCTCAAAACTAACAAGATATTTAATCACAATGAAAAAGGACAAACAATTCAAGTCACCTAAATAACCATTAAGACAGTCCCACAATCAAATCCTATGAAACCTAAGATATGTTGCAAAATACTGATAAAAGAAATGAATTCAAGGTAGAATAAGAGAAAAATCAACACAAAACATGATCACATTTCACAAAATGCGTGCACCTCTATACACAAGAAAAACATGAGCATCAATAACTTAGTGGGACTCCCACTTTTCCCAAGTTTTCAAAACAAAATTCTAAAAAGTGCTCTTTAAAAGACTTAAAAAAGAAAACATTAAGCAAACACAGCTACTTATTAGTTCACAAGACCATTTATTAAAAAGTTATTATTGAAATTATATTCCTCCAGTTCAGGCCCTTCCCCAGCAACCTAAAAATTCCAGCATACAGCCAAATTGTACGAAGCAATGAATGAGCGGATGTATTCCCTACTTAAAAAGACACAACAGCCTGCAAAACCAGTAACTCCGCCATAGACATCACCACCACCAACCCTCGTTTCAACTCGGGTGCTCTTTGGACAAGTTAGTTTTCCGTTGACTTTCAAATTCACGTTGTCACTCTCGCTCTCAACTTTTCAAATACAACTAGCTTCCACATTGCAACTGAAAACAAATATTTCTGTACAACAAAGCAAGTGCGAAAAGCCCACGGCAGCACACGACCCTCCCTGCCCGGGCAACTCTGTCTTGGCCATCTTCGCTCGTGCTCGGTGGCACCCGGGGGAAAGCCCGTAAGGCCTAACAGAAACGGCCAAAGTAGCGCGTTGATGAAATGTGTCAACTGGGACAGAGGTAGCAAAAAAAAAAAAAAAAAAAAAAATTCCAGCCCTCCACACCAAGTCCACACCGCACTCGCTAAATTAGTAAACTACTAGTAAAGCAAAACTGCCGTCCACCTCCGTCTCGAGTATTTCAGCAGTCCTCTGAGCTGCTGCAAACAGCTCGTCTATTAAAAGGCTCCCCGGTGGGAGCTGCTGGAAACTGGGGCCCAAATAATCTATTACGGGCCTCCGACTCGCAAATGGCCCGAAATTTGAAAAAATAAAGCGGATTTAGGATGACCCAAGAAACGGCCGTTAGAGACCCTTTCCGGACCCAGGAACCGGCCGGCGAAATCCGCGGCGGCGGGAGGGGGAGGGGAAAGGCGGCGGCGGAGGTGGAGCTGAAGCGAGCAGGCCCGTCCCTGGTGGACAACCCGGCCTACAGGTAGCGAAAGGGTAGGGAGTGATCAGGCGGGAGAGAAGAATGAGCATCTTAACTCGCTCCTAGAAGAGCCACCGGTTACCTCCGAAAGGGCGAAGTTCCTCGCGGCGAAGGGAGGGAGCGGATGGGGGGGTGGGGGGGGAAGGCCGGAAAATGGATCCCAGGCCCAGGCGGGGCGGTAGCGGGGCCTCAGGCGAGAGACGACGGCGTCTCGGAAAAAGGAGGCCAGGGGTGGCTACCTGGGGCTCTAACGGTACCTTAGCAGCAGAAGAGTCTGGGAAGCGATTACCTGGAAAGCTCCTGTTGAATTTCCCGGAATTTACTGACCACGAAAGACCTAAAAATCTGCTCGATGTTGGTCGCCATGGCGTCCGCTCCGTTCTCTCAACTCCTCCTCGCTAGTCCTCCAGGCTCCCAGCATGCCTCGGGAGGAGGCGCAGCGGCCAATTCCGTCTTCCGCCATCCTGATTGGCTGCTGTGGGAGCGTCCTGCCCGGCACGCTCAGCCGTTGAGCCAATCAGAGAGCACGCCCCCGCTCTCCTCCGCTGTTTCTGAGCGGCTGGGGTAGAGCTGCTGACGTTTGCGCCGCGCACGACTCTGTCCGCCATGTTAGTGACTGACGCAGACGCCATTACAGGAGCAGTCTCGCTTTAGGCGATTATGTGTATTTCAGTTGCCGGCTCCTCATGATGTTTTGGAGAATTAAGAGACTAGCTTTCTCCATTAAGCGCCCGACATTAAAAGGGAGTTTAGAAGGGCAGATTGGTGTTACGCAAAGGGCTTCCAGCATGCCCGGTGGCGCCGACTTTCCTCGGGGAGGAGCATCCGGGAAAGCAATTACCAGCGCCCGCCCCTATAGTGGGGCGAATACGAAGGACACATTTAGCCCCTTCCTTCGCCTACACAACCTACTAGCGGCCTCACTTTGCATTTTAGTAATAGGGTGGAGGCCCACGCCTGGTGTTTTCTAGTCTCGTTTGGAGCCAGGCGTTATCGCGAGACTTTACAGCGGTTGTTGCACAGTTTAGACTCAGCAGCAAAACACTCGCTAAAAGAGCTTCTAGCGTTTTTGGTTTCCCCCTCCTCGGTGCTGGGGAGGCTTTCGGGGAAGAAAGGAGATGTTACGTGGCACCTGATAGCGTACGGTGGTAGTATACAGGCGCAAGGACAGGGAGATTTGCGCCAGAGCATAGAAAGCCGCGCCCGAGGAGGCGGGGCTTTACGGCTCCGGCCAATGGGAGGCCGCGCTGGAGGGCGGGCAGACTTCCGGCGGGCGGGCTCCTGCGGGCCGTGAGGCGCCTCGTGTCGGTGCGTACGCTGTTTTCTCTTCTCAGCAAAGCACGATTATGTCGGGGTCGGGGGCGTCTGATATCGGAAATTGGAGGAAAGCGTAGGAACTAGTTGGGCTGTGGGGATTTTCATCTCATTTTTAAATGCCCTGGGTGGGATCGGCCATGTGCTTTTAACTCGTAACTGAAGTTTGCGGGAGCCCCCTCCCTCTTTCAAAGATGTCCGACACTCGTGTCCTCGCGCTCTGGGCTGAGTTCCCTCGCTGGAGGGGCCCCCAAATTGCCCGGTTCACTCGTTCTGCATCTGGTGCCTCTAGCATGTTTTTGTTCATTTTTGCATTTGGTTGCTACTTGATAGGCTTCACCAAATCTCTTGAAAGGACTTTGTTTACCTGGCTCTCATTCTCTTGTAATTTTCTCAAGTTTGATTAATTTTTCGGTCGTTTATGTAACTCGTGTTGTGGTTACATTTCACCCGCTTCGCACACGTGCCACACCGAGTGCAAAGGTCCCACATCTCCTTTGTCCCTCCTCCCTCTTGTAACTAGGATTATTCCACAGTCTAAGAACTCTTGCGGTGCTTTGCCGTCCATTATATAAGTAATCAGGTGGAATGGCTGAGACCTACTAAGGCTAAACCCGTGAAGGTCAACCAGCTAGTAACAAGCAGAATCTCAACTCAAATCGAGGCACTGTGGCTGTTCCAGGGCCTGCTGCCTGGCCCATGTGCGTTCTCCTTTGGGCTGAGTCTTGATGCTGTTGAATGATCCAGCATAGTAACCAGCACAGCCTGCTTCCTTCCCTTCTCAAACTAAATGTAGTCTTTTCTCGAGATTAAAGATCTGTTTATTTCAAGAACACACTGTGACTCCAATATTTCATAACTCTAAGACTAAAATTTAGTAATTCTTCATATTTTCAGTGATCACCCTCTCTTGGTTTTCCCAGGTGGAATCCAGACACCAGTCTCCTCTTGACTGTGATCTGCAAGCCAGTTGCTTGCGCTAACTGGATTTTGTACTCTAACCTGTAAAAGTGGTAATGATAATAGTGTTTACCTCATAGAAACCTTATGAAGATTAAGTGATGCAATTCATGAAAAGCTTTTACAATAACACCTGGCACAAAGTAAGCACTCAAAGGATTGATGTTAATTCATCAATTTAGCTTTCTGCATTCATTTGTAATCCTAGCACCTCACAGGAAGTACCAGATTTTCTTTTTCCTGTTAATCAGTTACCATCTACATAATTTAATGTCTTCTGAAAATTAGTAAATGTGAAAATTATCTGGCTTCTTTCCTATTAAAACTACTTTCTATCTGTAGAATATTATAATTTAATGAAATATAACAGGTCAGCGTTTACTACTGATGGGTGTCAAAAATTGTACTGATTTTGTTGCTTCAATTTATCCTTTCATGGCCTCCTAAGGTACATATTCTTTAACTTAAGTGAAGACCTCAAAGTACATGTAGTAAGATTTGCTACACACACGGCTAACTTGACTCCAGAGATAGCTGTGGTACCTGTGCTGGTCAGAATAAAATTTAAAAACTAGAATGAGATATGTTTCAGATTTTATTTTTGCATTCTATACAGGTTTTTTAATATATTGCAAAGCTTCTTAAACCAGGAATCAGGAAACTATGGTCCTTGTGCCAAATTTTTCCTATCATATATTTTTGTACAGCTTGACAGATGAGTGATTTTTGCATAGTTAAATGTTTTTATGACAGTGAAAATTGTGAAACTTAAGTAGTTTTATTGAAATAACTGTTTATTCTTTACAAAGCTCTGGTAGCTTCCTGCTGCTTAAAGCAGAGAGAGGCAAATGATGGTCTACAAACCATTGCTTGTATATGTAAGTTTCTACTGGACTTAGCTGCATTCATCCAAATACATGAATGCTACCATGAGTACCCTTTCCAGAACCCCATCTTAACTCTATCAAAGATTCAAGTTACAAAAGTAGACATTTTAGGCCCTCCCTGGTGGCGCAGCGGGTTAAAGCACAGCACTAAGAAGCTTAAGCCACTTCAGCATGAGTTCGATTCCCGCCTGCTCCGGAGGTGACCACATGGCACGGCAGACCTCTCCTGACCCGCCCGCTGCTCCCCTCAGCAGTGTGCTTCGTCGATCTGCCTGTTCTGCTCCTCTCTCTGTCTCTGGTGAATCCTCTCACCCTCCGCATCTCTGGCCTGTACCCCAGTTCGATATGCATAAATAAATAAATCTTTAAAAAAAAAAAAGTAGACATTTTAAATTCAGGGTCTAAATTTAAAACATCCCAATTATACTTAACCAAGATTTGATAACTACCAAACCTAAAGGTGAAACCCAAAGACTGAATGTTCATTGAAGATTTTTGTATTATATTAGGAGCTCAATCAACATTTCAGTCCGTAACCTAACTTGTTAGGCTAGCCTGCTCATTTTTAACACCTCCCTAATTTTTGAATACTGTCATTTTTCTTAAATTATGACTCTTTCACAAGTGAGTAGTTGATTGAAAATAATCATTTGCATGATTACAAATGCCACCTTGAATCACTTGAAATTTGTAATTTCTAAAGTACAGACATTGTAAGCTATCCACTGCAGTTTTCCTTCCATGACACTGACTTTCCTTTTGAATTCCTTTGCAGCAAAGCAATGACAGCCCGGGTGCTTGTAATAGGCAGCGGAGGAAGAGAACACACACTGGCCTGGAAACTTGCACAGTCAAATCATGTCAAGCAAGTTTTGGTTGCTCCAGGAAATGCAGGCACTGCCTCCTGTGAAAAGATTTCAAATACTGGTAATTCGTATTTTTTTTTTAAGATTCATTTATTTATGCATATAGAACCGGGGTACAGGCCAGAGATGCAGAGGGTGAGAGGATTCACCAGAGAGAGAGTGGGGAGCAGAACAGGCAGATCGACGAAGTACACTGCTGAGGGGAGCAGTGGGTGGGTCAGGAGAGGTCTGTCATGCCATGTGGTCTCCTCCAGGGCAGGCGGGAATCGAACTCATGCAGAAGTGGCTTTAACTTCTCAGTGCTGTGCTTTAACTCACTGCACCACCAGGGAGGACCGGTAATTCATATTTTAAAGAGGTGGATGGGGGGAGCAGTTGCACTAATTAGAAGTTACAACCTACCCAAGCAGTTGACCTTATAAAAACCTATCTTTATATGGTCAGGTGCTATTCAGTGCTTTTCTTAACCTTAGAATTAATGTAGTAATTTGCATACTTAAATCTCCAAATGATATGTATTTTTAGCCCTTTCCGTTCACTATGAATTTATCTTAAGTTACTTTAAACCTAACACTGAAAAGGGGGGCCTCCCTGATCGCACAGGGGTTAAAGTCTCAGTGCTATCAAGTTATCACGAGCCAGGAAACTGACCCACATGGTGCAACAGACCTCTTCTGCCTCTCCTGCTGGTCCCCTCAGCAATGGATTTCAGTCGATCTACCCATTCCATTCCCCACTCTGTCTCTGGTGAATCTTCTCACCCCCTGCACCTCTGGTCTGTCCCCATCTTCTATGCATAAATAAGTAAAAATAAATCTTATAAATAGATTGTTGAAAAGTCATAAATATCTCATACAAATGAAAGGCACATACAGGTATTTTGCAAAGTGTCATGGTGTTAAAATCTGACAATAGTAAATCAATAAATACTGGTAATTGTAACGCCATAATTAAATCTTAGACCTGGCTCCTCCACTGATACCAAAAAACGGAGGGGAAGGGAATGTTCAATGCCTGTGCTGTGTTAACCACGTTAGTGGCTTTCCGCAGTGCCGAGAGTAAAGGTCAAACTTGCATAACTGCCTGACAGACCCCTTTGACCTGACCTCTGCCTACTCTTCCAGCCCAATTATTTTATGTCCTTTGTTTTCTTTGCTCTGTCAATGCAGTTCTGCCATTATCCCAAAGAGAGCTGCGTTAAACGTTGTGTTTGTTCCCACGCCTGGTTTGACTGCCTCTTCCTCTAAATAAATCATGTTCGTTTCCATTTCATTTGATTAGAATCATGGCCCAGCCATTGTAATTTTGCTTTGTGTTGTCTGTCGCCTCTTATTTCCCTTACCACCAAACAAAAGCTCTAAACTGGAAGCTACATGAGGGCAAGTAACTTATCTGCCTGTGATTCGCAATGTTACGTACTTTGCCTGCAGCGGCCTCAGAAGCATCCTAAGTGTATAAACCCAACTAAGCTTCACCATGGACACCAAGAGAGATTCTATCTTGTAAACCTCAGAATAAATGTTTAGTGATTGGCATTAAAAGATAAATTCCTGAATATATTCTGATATTTTGTTCATTCATTCACCACTAGTGACCACAAAGTATTTTGTAGCTCTTTGTAAAACTTACTGGGATTTTCATCTAAGTTACGGTAGCAATAGGAAAGAACTTGGCCTACTAGCCAGACCGACTCTGCTCTAGATTTTCTCAGCTGGAGACGTGTTCAATAGAGGAAGCCAAGAGTTAACAGACTTCCCAGAATGTAGTGATTCGTTTTCACCATGACACTTGGTTAACATGGAAGATGTTTTATGAGTAAAGTGAGTGTGTGTCTCCTGTTCACAGCTGTCTCAGCCAGTGACCACATTGCGCTTGCTCAGTTCTGCAGAGATAGCAGCATTGATGTCGTTGTCGTCGGACCTGAAGCGCCTCTGGCTGCGGGTAAAGTTCACTTATATTATTGCAGCAAATGCGATTCCAACAGGACCTTAAAGATCAGCTATTGCAGTTTTTTACAGAGGAGGATTCTGATACTACATTGGGGAAAAGGCTTACCATCTTAAATTACATTTAAGAAAAAGCTCTGACATTCAGAATTTATGGATTCTAGATATTTTTTCCCAAGCATCGACGATGTGATGAAGGAGAGACCATATTTGCCATGTGAAAAACACATTTTTCTCCTGCTCTATTCTGTTGTCTTTAATAATCCATGTACTTGAATATAGCAAAACATGTTGGACTTGAATCACTAGTAGTAGCATTGATTTATATATCTTGTCTATAACAAGTGAAAAACTGTTCTCTGCTACCAGCCATTACCTTTTCTTAATGTAGACATTCTAATTCTTCAGAATGAGAGACGTGCCCACAGACCTTGGCTCACCTAAGGTTGCTTCTCTCCATCAATAGGAATTGTTGGCGACCTGACATCTGCAGGGGTGCGATGCTTTGGCCCCACAGCAGAAGCAGCTCAGTTAGAGTCCAGCAAAAGGTTTGCTAAAGAGTTTATGGATCGACATGGGATCCCAACTGCAAAATGGAAAGCTTTCACCAAAGCTGAAGAGGCCTGCAGCTTCATTATGAGGTAGGCAGAAGGGCACTTACTTTGTATGATACTTAAACAGGTCGCTTTTATAATTTTTTTTGTTTGTTTATGCATGCAAGAGATGGGTTGTAGAGCAGAGGTGTGGGAAGTGAGAGGATTCACCAGAGACAGAGTGGGGAGCAGAACAAGCAGATGGACTGAAATTCACTCCTGAGGGGAACAGCAGGGAGACAAGAGAGGTCTGCTGCACCCTGTGGGTCACCTCCCTGACAGGGGATCGAACTGGTACTGCAGTGGCTACTGACAGCTTCATAGTGCTGAGACTTAACCCCTTGCACCACTAGGGAGGGTCTCACTTATATTTTATACCTTGGTAATAAGGTAATTGTGAAAATAAGTTAGACTCTGTAGTATCCAATGTCAAAATAAAGTGGGGCTGTGTACTTACACATTACGTAATGTGTGGCTTGCAGAAAGATTAATTTTTCACATTACAGAATAGTGTCTGAAGGAAAGATACTTCAGGTTCTGCTGTTGTGTGCTCTTTCACAACCAAACTGACAACTACAGTGGCATCTTAAAGCATAAATGATGCCTATTTTTTCCCCATAAATAACCAGAGTGAAGAGTCACTTGACCCCTGCCGCCACTATTTGATTCTAAATCTTACCTATCCGTGGTTCACTATTACGTGAAATACATTGAGTAGTTAAGGCATGTTGGTAGGTATGTGCCTTTATCCTTTTGTCTCCCTGCTAGCTAGTATAATTCCCGTTAATGGGGTTAGTTTTGTTCTTCATTCATTCTTTATCCTACCTACAGGGTTTCTTAAACATTATTTTGTAGTGGCCAGATGCTTCATATAAGTATCAAGTTTGTTACTTACTTTGGTTACGTCTGATAACTACCAGTCTTACTCAATAGAAGGAATTATCAGAAAGCTCCTTGTGTGCACTTCAGAAAGGGTCTGTGTGTCGCTACTTGTGTTGGTCCATAGTCACATCATTATCTTGGATCATTCCACATCTGCTTTGTACAACTACTTTAGTCATTCAGAGCTTTTACTTACACGATCCCATAATAAGTGAAAAGACCAAATTTTATGTATCATATAATCACAACTATAAGAGAAAACATAGGAGGCAAATCCAGGCAGGAAATGGTCCTTGTTTTAGCAACAATTTTTTTCTTTCCACTATACAGTTATAGCATATTGCAAAATTCCAACACATTTGATTGAACTTTTGAATTGTATCGGCTGAAGCTTACTCTCTCCACAGTGCGGACTTCCCTGCTTTGGTTGTGAAAGCCAGTGGTCTTGCAGCTGGGAAAGGGGTGATTGTTGCAGAGAGCAAAGAGGAAGCCTGCAAGGCTGTGCAGGACATCATGCAGGTAGGTTGGCTCAGCGGCAAAAGGTAACTTCCAATTACACTGACTAGATACTCTGAAGTCAATGAAACATTCCTCATTATAAGAAAAACATGCGGCAAAAGACAAGCCGTTTTTACAGTATTATAGTTTATACAGTTGTCGGTGGAAAGGTGATTACAGACCTGCGTTGCCGGCTAACCCATGTTCCATTGAGATAAGTGCTAGCATGTTTCCTTGCCTGCTCCTTAAGGGTGTGTGTGTGTGCGCGTGTGTGGGAATACTTTGACCCAGTCATGAGAACAAAAGTATTTATCATGTGTGTCCCTGCTCTATCCTTTCTGTGCCCTGCCTTGTAGAAATCTGCTTTCTTAGACATTACTTGATAAGAGTTATTCAAGCATGTTACTGTAGTCAGAAATAGGAATTAAATGGTGATGATGAAAATACCTGTGTTTCATTATCACATCTAAAGTCGGAGAGTCAGAACGTAGGAGTGTTGTGTCACCTATACCCTGTTGGCTCTATATCATTGCCTCTGAAAGATAGGAAACATTTCATGACTCCTTTGGAAACTTTCGGAAAGGAAAATTGCAGTATCAGTATGCTGGTTCATAATATAAATGGAGAAAAATGGCAATAGCCAAGTACATATTGAAAGCCAACCGCTTACCACTTTTCTTTTTTTTTTTTCCATCTATAAGGATAAAGCTTTTGGAGCAGCTGGAGAAACAGTTGTCATTGAAGAACTTCTCAAAGGAGAAGAGGTGTCTGTACGTATGTGGGACATAGGACACTGTTACCTGACTTGTGCGTCCCTTTCTATTTATTTATTTTTTAGACTTTATTTATTTATGCATACAGAAATGGGGTATAGGCCAGAGATGCAGGGGCAGCAAGAGGATTCACCACAGACTGGGGAACAGGAGAGGCAGATGGACAAAGTATCCGCTGAGGGAAGCAGCGGGCTCTACAGGAGAGGTCTGATGCGCCCTGTGGGTCAACTCCCAGGCTGCAGTGGCCGCAGGGAGCTTCATAGTGCTGAGACTTCACCCCCTGCACCACCAGGGAGGTTTGGCTTAGGGATACTATGCTTTAAGTCATTTTCTTTAAAAACAAAAGAAAACTTTTCCTCTAAGATGGGTTAATAATTAATAAGAACATGTACTTCTTACTACTATGGGTTTTGTTTTGTTTTATTTAACTTCTTTCTGCATTGTAAGGTAAGAGTACCGGTTATTTTCTCTCTGCAGTGTCTGTGCTTTACGGATGGAAGGACTGTGGCTCCTATGCCCCCAGCCCAGGACCACAAGCGATTGCTGGAAGGAGACCAGGGCCCCAACACAGGGGGGATGGGCGCCTACTGTCCAGCACCACAGGTATTCTAGGCACTCGGCTGAAGTTCAGCAGTAATTGATTTCTCAAAGAACTCTTAGATTATGCATTTCTAATCTTTTTCTTTTTTTTTCTTTTTTTTTTTTTTTTGCTGTAAAGGATATTACTTTAATTGAAAAGTAACTCTTCTGGCTAGTCTTAGTCTTTATTTTTTTCCTAAAGATAAATATCTATGCAGCTAAGAACTGGGGTACAGGTCAGAGGTGCAGAGGGTGAGAGGACCCACCGCAGACAGAGTAGGGAACAGGCAGACTGACTGAAATACACTGCTGAGGGGAGCAGCAAGCAAGACAGGAGAGGTCTGCTGCACTGTATGGGTCACTCCCTGGCTGGGAATTGAACTCATGCTGTAGTGGCTGCGGATGGCTTCATATTTGGTGAAAATTATTTTAGTGCATATAGTACATAAATAAGTTTACATTTAGTTTTAATAATTAAATTTATACACTCAGATTTTTAAGATTATAGGCATATAAAATGTACATTAGGGAGCTTTAAGGATGACTGTGAAATATATGTTTACTTATAAAAGGTGACTTAACTAATAAAAAAATAAAGAATCTAGCATCTGCTTGCTATAATTTTTACCACTCGAGATCTATGCTGTTTTATTTTCAAAAAAGGAAAGAAAGCTAAATTTCTACTTAATGTTGTCAGTGTGAAGATTTGTAAAGTTTATAATTTTTTTTAAGGATTTTTAAATTATGCATAAAAGAGCTGAGGTATAGGCCAGGAGGATGGGTGGGTGGGAGAGGGTGATGAAAGGATTCACCAGAAACAGTGGGGAGCAGAACAAGAAGATTGAAGTCTGGTGAGACAGGTGAGGTTTCCTGCGCCGCATGTGTTAGCTCCTGGCCAGGGATCAAACTTGTGCTGCAGATAGCTTCATAGTGCTGAGACTTAAATCTCTTTTGCCACCAGGGAAGCCCTACAATTTTTTTTTTTTTGAACTGTTTACTTTGCTTCCTTTTTTACAGTAAAGAATAAAAATTTATGAAATTAAAGTTCTCGACCCATCTCAGGAAGCCAATAAATGATAGTTTTCGTGGTCCAGGTGTTATCACTTACAAGATGATTTTCTAAATACCAGTTACATTTAAATAGTTCTCTGTGCCCCCTAGATTTCTAAGGACTTGTTATTAGAGATCAAAAGTACCATACTTCAGAGGACAGTGGACGGCATGCAGCAGGAGGGTGTGCCGTACACAGGTGAGCCCTGCGGGCGCGGGGGCATGGTGTGGCTATTCTAGAACTTTGCGTATTAAAGCGTTATCGTTCTGATTTTCATAGTCACAGTGTGAAATCTTCAGACACACTCCACCCCCGTTTTTTTTTTTGTTTTTTTTTTTTTATGAAGGTATTCTCTATGCGGGTATCATGCTGACCAAAGATGGCCCAAAGGTCCTAGAATTCAATTGCCGTTTTGGTGATCCAGAGTGCCAAGTGGGTAATAATGAAAGATAATAATAACAAAGTGTTGATTTGTAGAAAATATGTTTTAATCTCAGAATTTTTCATACTTGAAATGGTATTGGCCCTGTGTATCCTAGGGGAATGTGTGCTGCTTCAGTCAGTGAAAATTTGTGCAATGTAGACAGGCCTGCAGTGGGCACCTCTGTACTGAACTGAACATGTGAACTGGGTGCCACCAAGTCACCTAATACTGACTCTTACTGGTCATTGCTCACTGAAAATAGAGTAACAACTGTTTACACAGCATTTATACTGTATGCTTACCAGTAACAGAAACAATTTAACGTCTACAGGTTTATTTTGTGTCGGTTGTATGAAATACTTCACCATTTCATATAACGGACTTGAGCAGCCACCACCCTAGAGGGCACGGCACCTGGATGCCAAGAAACAACTGTAATTACCTTTGAGAAATACACACGTGTTCCTTAAGTATTTTCTCATAGTAAATAAAATATCTACAGAGAACTAAAATTTCTCTCAATTGCCTTGATGATGTTTTTCCAGGTGATCCTCCCACTTCTGAAAAGTGATCTTTATGAAGTGATTCAGTCCACCTTAGATGGTCTGCTCTGCACATCTCCACCTCTTTGGCTTGAAAACTGCGCTGCAGTAACTGTTGTCATGGCAAGTAAAGGTTACCCTGGAGACTACACCAAGGGTGTGGAGATAACAGGTGAATATCAGGGGCAGAAGGTTGAATTACAGCATGATGCTGACCAAAGGCCCCTGGGCCTCCATCCTTTGCTAATGTTCTCCTCCGTTTAAGTACATGTGGCCATCAGAAACCTTTCAGGGGTTCTTACCATAACCATATTGCTTTTTGGATGCTTGTGTTTCGTTATATATAATTACTGTATTTGCAGAACTGCACAAGAAAGAGCCCACCAAGTTCCAGAATATTACTAAGTATGACCTCTTGCTGGCATTCTCTAGGAGCCAGCCGGAAAGACGATAGGGATGTTTAAGAGTCAGAAATGCCCATATAAACCACATAGAGGCGTGATCACAAATGGGACGGCTGGTTTGCAGTACACCCCTGGTCGTTGGGTGGCAGAATTAGTTTTCAAGGACAATTGACCTTTGAACAACATGGTTTTGAAGGGGACATGTCTGCGTAAATGCAGATTTTTTTCAATAAATGTGTACATGAGTTTCCTAACATTTTTTTCTGACTTTATTGTGAGAATATAGTGACTGTGTTGGTCAACTGTTAACAGAAAAACATCTGAAAAGTGTAGGCTATTGGGGGAGCTTAAGGTTATAATGGGATCTTAAATGCAGTGGGTGGGGTCAGCACCTCTAATAATTCCTTCCTCACCCCCAGTTGCTAAGGTTCAATTATATACCTTCTCTGTACATCTAGTTAAATGACGTTAAGTCCAACAAGAATTAAAATTACGTACAAGTCCCCAAGGGCAGACCTCTGTGACTCCCTAGGAGGCTACATGGTTTGGCCTCTCTTGGTATCCAGCAGTATGTTGATTAAAACACTATTTTCACTGTCCTGTCTGGACAGTAAGTTCATTGCCCTGTGAATCCCACACATGGTAACTGGGCGGTTAGGCACTGTCTTTTAAAATGGCCAGAAAAAGGAAAAGGGCAGATTGAGATCTTTCCCCTAATTTTGAGCCAGTAGTGATTTCTTTTTGTTGTTGTATTGGTTTTAGTTATTTCTGACATAGTATACCACAAGTTTTATGACCTCGTGTACAAAAGTATTTGAAGTCGTATGTTAGCAGCTTCCAAATGTGATGCTGAAAGAAAAATGGAGAAGGGAAAGGACAGAGGATTCTTTTTCTTACTTAAGTGGTTATCTTTGTGTGCATTGTTCCTGTTGGTCATTTTAGAATTTAGAAAACACAGTCTAGTGATATTTTAAGATTATAGCTAAGATCTTAAAAATACCCAAAGCCAGGGATTTGAGATTGAGCCCAAATTTTACTTAAACTGGTCTCAAGATTATAAAATTCCTAATGTGAGGGAGATGGTTAAGAATGTTTTTAAACCAAGATCCTCTTGGCTATTTTTTTTTTAAGATTTATTTATTTATGCATACAGAAGTGGGGTACAGGTCAGAGGTGCAGGGGCAGTGAGAGGCTTCACCCAAGACAAGAGTGGGGAGCAGAACAGGCATATCATTGAAGTACACTGCTGAGGGAAGCAGCGGGCGGGTCAGGAGAGGTCTGCCACGCCACATGGGTCACCTCTGGGTGACTCAGGCTGAAGTGGCTTTAGCTTCTTAGTGCTGTGCTTTAACCCACTGTGCCACCAGGGAGGGTCCCCCTTGGTCATTTTAAAAGAAGAAAACTTTATTTGGATGATTATGATAAAAAAAGTTAATTGACTGCTGAGTAAAAGATAAGTTCACATGCGGGATTTTTATTCATTGATGTTTGTTGGGGGGAGGGGCTGACAGCGTGCAGTTTTTTAAGTTTTTAATGAATTGTGAGGAAGAAAAAACTTGCACCTTCAAGTGAAACTTTGGAACTTAGTTTTTTCCCCTCCATGATTAGTGGAATGTTAATTGCATGAGATTTGTGATACCACAAGGATTTTGGACACAGTTGTCACCCCAGTGCAGAACAGACTTGTTTGCTATTACGATGCATTCATTCCTGCCTGATAGAACCCTGAAAGATGCACCTGAGCTTTTTGTTGTTGTTTTTAATGTTTTAACATGGAAATTACCACTCCCTTCACACATGTAAATGTCGCTATAAGTCATGGTGTCTGTGTGCTCTCTTACAGGGCTTTCGGAGGCTCAGACTTTAGGCTTGGAGGTGTTCCAAGCAGGCACTGCCCTAAAAGATGGCAAAGTGGTTACTAGTGGAGGGAGAGTCCTGACAGTGACCGCCGTCCGGGACAATCTCCTCTCAGCCCTTGAGCACGCCAAGAAAGGATTAGCTGCTGTGCAGTTTGAGGGAGCCGTTTACAGGAAGGACATTGGCTCCCGGGCGGTGGCTTTCCTCCAGCAGCCCAGGTAAACTGCTCCTACCTGGCCTGACAGCCCAGTTTTGGACCTGGCACAAATGACTCGGTACACACAGCTGTTAATCAAGTACCCCTTAACAAAAATGGGGAGAGTTTGTATTCCTTGGTTAGCCGTATATTTAAGTATTTTATTTAGTTTCTGCTTTTGTCCAAGTTCAAGATGAAAATACTGGTTGTGACTTTGTGACTTGACCTGAATATACTGTTAAGTGTTAGCAGCTTCATTTTGTCACTGCCTTTATAACTGTTACTGAAATGTTTTTTTTGACCTCTTAGTCATTTACTGGCATGTACAATTACTACTTTGAAAAAGTCAATAAACTATTTGTTGCAAATGTGGAGGTTTTGATTTCTTCAGTATCTATCACAGTTCATATTGCAAAATTAAATTTAATATTTTGATGAAATAAGTACTGTACATTAAGTCCATCTGAATTAAAATTTTTTAGGACAATAAGAACTTTTCAGCAAATTAATTCAAGCTATACTGGTACTGATCATTGGTTTTAAGTGTAAGCATTAGAATTAGGAACACTAAAATACTGAGTTAGAAAATTATTTTTCACTTATTCAAATGACTAGTTCCCAGTGAAGTGACCTAGTTCAGGAGACTATAATCTTACCACTAATCTGGTCTTTAAAGGTGAACAATGAATGGCTACCTGAGGAAAGGTTTTACACTGGCACATTGTCTCCTATCAAGCTTGAGCCCAGGTTGCTGGCAGCCGTTGCCAAGCTTTCAAGCCTCTAGTCCCCGGCATTCGTTTTCTAGTAAAACCGCACGTATCCCCCCCCCCCCCCCCCCCCCCCCCCCCCCCCCCCCCCCCCTCAGGCCAGGCTCTTTGTCTTCCCAAAGCACCATTACTGTGTTCACAGTGCATTTCACAAACTTCATCTCTAAATGTACCGCTCAAGCGTGTTCCCCATAGACAAGGAAATGAGTTATAAATGTGGTATTACTTCCTTTCAGTTTTGTTACCTTGTTTCCTACTGTGTTTATCTGTGAGGAAACCAATAAAAATATCTTTTATATCGGTAAGAGCCAGTTTTCGTTATGTGGGGATTTCTTTGCGTAGTTTTTGTAATCCTAGCTGACACAGTTCTAGTATTCCTTCCCATACCAAACTTGAACACAGAATGGTTGTTGCAAAATACCACTGTATTTAATTGGCTGTGAGGAGTATTTCTCAGAGAAGTAAGTTGAGCACTAGTTCTCAGGAGAGGTAATCTAATGAATTACAGGATGTTTACTCCTAGAGCCTGCCCTAAAGAAGTTAATTCAGAGTCTATGGCTGGGGCCTAGCACATGAAGGGTTATATAAATCACTAGAGATACCTTTGCTTTAAATATTCATTTAAGATTTACTTGCCATTTAGGTAATATCTTCACTGCTTTCTTAATTATTTTAGGGGCCTGACTTACAAGGACTCTGGGGTAAACATTGCAGCTGGAAATATGCTCGTCAACAGAATTAAGCCTCTAGCAAAAGCCACCTCCAGACCAGGTAAGTCAGATCCAGACTTTAGCTAGTTATTTACTTTTACAAACATTGTGATTGATTTGGGCTTTGTTGTTTATTGAGAAAAATGTTCCAAATTAATGCTGTAGGTTTGCTCTGTATCGTTAGTCCTCAGCTTTCTTGTCTTCTTCTATTAACCGTGATGTCAAACTCAAAAGGCTGTCAGCACCTTTAATGTTTAATTACTTTTTTGATCACATGGTGTTCTCTCCCATTTTCAGGAATGGCAATTCCTGTAGCTATTCTTAGTGGCTTTATGTATTCATGTTTAATTCTTTTTGTAATAGTTTATTTTTACATATTTTTGTGCATTTTTCCATCTCAGTTGCCATTACCATAGTCCAGTGCATTTCCTTCCCCCCGCTGTTTTTGATCCCACTCCCCACTCCATGTTTAATTTTTGAAATGTAGCAAGTAATTCCTACCCAACAGGCTGTAATGTTGAACTTGGAGATTTCGCTGGTCTTTTTGATGTAAAAGCAGCTGGCTTCAAGGATCCTCTACTGGCTTGTGGAACTGATGGTGTTGGGACTAAACTAAAGGTAATCCAGTCCTATTGTGAATTACTGTATGTCAAATGAGCATTTTCCCCATCTTGGCAAACACTAAAGAGAACCAGACTGAATAATCATATAGCGAAAAACATCTCCATTTCTAGCTATCTGTTACTCTTAAGTCTATATCTTAAAGGATTACTGTAGGGGAAAAGGGATACTCTAGCTATCGTAATTTAGTTCCTTTGTCTTCTAAGTGTTCAGAGTAGCCAGCCAAGTATCCGTGTTTGCTAGCGTCCACTGATGGACTGACAAGATCTCATTTGAGGCTTGCTCTCCTATGAGGATGTGTGTCTTATTCTACAGATTGCCCAGCAGTGCAACAGACATGATACCATTGGTCAAGATTTGGTTGCCATGTGTGTGAATGATATTTTGGCTCAAGGAGCAGAGCCCCTCGTCTTCCTTGATTACTTTGCCTGTGGAAAACTTGACCTTACTACCACTGAAGCTGTTGTTACGGGAATCGCTCGAGCTTGTCGAGACGCTGGGTGTGCTCTGCTGGGTATGATCATCCCTTGTATTCTCAAGGTTTAATGTAGTTTAGCCTTAGGTTTAAGTGTGATGGGTACCGGTACAGCCTCAAGAGCAGCCATCACAAGAGGAGGCAGACCGCACAGAGAGGATGCGAAACGAAGAAACTCTGGTGCCCCAGAGTCATTTTACTTAACTGCCAGCCAAACTGTATTTTCTCCTTTTATATTCGGCCACCATTTCCTTTGGTATCTTTCTCAGTAGTCATCAAAAGACAGCATAGGTATTGTTTCTGGTCCTACAGCAAAGGTGGATGGGCTCCTGCATGTTAAAACTTGACTTATATTTTCTCATAAAATGTATGTGAAGGGTAAAATCCATGCGGTATAGAAATACTAAATACAAATGAGAATAAGGAATCAAACTACCTCTTTATAGTACATTGCTTTGGACAAATCTGGCCCAAGAGCCAAAAATTCTTTTTCCTGCAAGCCAGACACACACCAGCCAAACCTCGTTACACAACAAGGTTATGTTTACATAACTTTAAATGCGTATTTCAAGAGAAATGGCCTGTTGTTTTCACTGCTTTAAAAAGTGATTATTGAGTTGTTTGCCTCTGTGTAAAGAACTGTACAGATGCATTTGTTCCTGTGCTGCTCCAGGTAGTTACTGACAAAATAAGTTTTGTTTAAAAAAGATTATTGGAAGTTTTATAGAAACGAAAGAGGAACCATGTGGTCCTAACCAAGGACGCATTTATAGTGTTGTATGTGCTTGTTTAAGTGTCTTTTCAACCATAATTTAAAGAGTCTAATTGGCACTTTGTCCGCCTAACACATCTTCTCACCAGGAGATCATAAGGTGGACTGTGATGCCCTGTGTAGTGCAGGGCACGCGCACCTTGGTAGGCGCAGTCAAGTCACTTCGCTGAGGTCCCTGAACATCATCTCAGGAATAGAGTAATTGCAGAGGATCAACTGTGGAGACTTGAAGAGTTCCACACCAAGTAATACTGGCAGACATACCCCAAGACCACATTACAGTAAGGTTGAAAGACAGCAGCAACAAAAAAAGAAAGACAGGAACAATGACAGAATATTTAAAATCTGAAGGCCCGCCCTTGTTGGCATAGTGGCTTAAACTGCAGCACTCCCAGTTAGCCGCAGGCGCTTCAGTGCAAGTTTGATCCAGCCATGGAGGTGACCACAGGGCACGGCAGACCTCTCCTGACCCGCTCGCGGCTCCCATAGCAGTGGACTTCATAGATCTGCCCGTTCTGCTCCCCACTCTGTCTCTGGGGAATTATCTCACTGCTCCTACACCTCTGGCCTGTACCCCAGTTCTGTGTGCATAAATAAGTAAATCTTTAAAAAACAATAAAAAATAAAACCTCAAGGGAAAAAAGGCAAGTGCATAAGAGACCATCAGCTAGACTACTAGCAGACTTTTCAGTAGAAACATTACAAAGATACTGGAAAGAGATGTTAAAATATTTTTTTTTTTAAAGATTTATTTATTTGTGCATACAGAACTGGGGTACAGGCCAGAGGCTCAGGGGTGGTGAGAGGCTTCACCAGAGACAGAGTGGGGAGCAGAACAGGCAGATCGACCAAGTACACTGCTGAGAGGAGCAGCGGGCGGGTCAGGAGAGGTCTGCCACACCATGTGGTCTCCTCCGGGGCAGGCGGGAATCGAACTCATGCGGAAGCGGCTTTAGATTCTCAGTGCTGTGCTTTAACCCGCTGCGCCACCAGGGAGGGCTGAGATGTTAAAATATTTAAATAAAAAGATTTCCAGTCAGAACCTTTCACCCAGCAAGATTACCATTCAAAGCAAAGTCCAAACTTGTCTAGAAGACAAGCAAATGGCCATCAGAAAAAGCCAGGAACAGCTATAGTTACATCTAATAAAATAGATTTCCAACTAGGGAAGATACTAAAAGGTATGGGCAGTGTTGTGATTAGGGGCCTACTGAAAGGAGAAATAACAAGTATATGTGCAACAGTACTAGCCCGCAGAGATCCGTAAGGCCATGGCAGACAGACAGGTGCCAGTGTGCAGTGACTAGGGGCTTTGGTACCCCGCTACGGCAGTGGACAGATCAAGACAGCGTAAATGAGGAAGCAGCATCTTACACTGGGATAAGCCAAATAGGTCTGACAGACATCTACTGAACATTCCACCCAGAAACTGCTTTTTATACCTTTTTTTTTTTTCAAATGTTATTGTAAATGGAACATTTTCATATCATGGGACACAAGTCGGCTGTCAAAAAGGCTACAAAGATTGAGATGATACCTAGTGCTTTTCCGACCATATTGCCATACAGTTTGGAATTAACTGTAGGGTAAACTAAATACAAGGAGATTACAAAGCATGCTGCTTAGTAGGGATTGGATAAAAAGGAAATCAAAGTAGAAATTAGAAATACCTTAAGACCATCGGAAACGATGGTAGATCTAAGGGGACAGCAGCACCAGTCTTAAGGGAGAAGACAGTTGCGATGTCCCACGTTAGGCATTCAAACACCTAAAGCAGCCTGAAGAGGCACAGTCAAGACCCAAGTTAGTGGAAGAAAGGAAAGAATAAACTGAAGAGCTGAAATGTGTGAAATGGATCAAATACAGTATACGGAAAATGAAAAGCTCATTTTTCAAGATTAAATAGGGAATGGGAAAAAATAAAAACAATCACAAATGAAAGGAGAAGTCAGCATAGAAACACAAGGATCACAAGAGGTTACTATTAACTATCTGTGAGTAAATGTGGTAACCTTGAAGAAATGGGTCAACTTCTAGAGATCAGTACTGTGTTGCATCCAAATAACAGTTACTCGGCTGCTACTCTGAAAGAAGAGTGGGTGAAAACAAATTTTATGTGCAGGCATTTCTGAAACTAAACTATAGAAATAGCATTGAGCCAAATATTCATCCCATGACAGTAATACTTGGAGGTTACACACACCCTTGCAAAGGTAATACCTGACTTTAGTCTCGTGAAGATGAATTTTTTTCCTCTGAAGTTGTACTTAGCTGGAAGTTCTGTCAGGCTGCCAATAGATCTTTAAGTGGGATGTGGTCACGTTTATAACTTAGCTGCTTGTGCTGAACCTAGTAGGCAGGTTGTGCTGTGTTGAGAGTTCTTTGCTCAGCCCTCATTGCATCTTCCTGCCAGGTGGAGAAACAGCAGAGATGCCTGACATGTACCCTCCTGGGGAGTATGACTTAGCCGGCTTTGCTGTGGGTGCCATGGAGCGCGAGCAGAAACTCCCTCGCTTGGACAAAATCACTGAAGGGGACGATGTCATTGGAATAGCTTCTTCTGGTCTTCACAGCAATGGATTCAGCCTAGTGAGGAAAATCGTAGAGCGATCTTCCCTCCAGTACTCCTCTCCAGCCCCTCGCAATTGTGGTGACCAGACCTTAGGTAAACGCACTCAGGTTTAAACTCCTGTTTCAAAATGTCTGAGCAGCAACTTAAAGAGGTCAGTCTCACTACTGTCACAGTGGACCAGTTACGTTTCCTCAGCTTTCCTGCTTGGATATCACTGTGCAACAGATGTGACTGGCAGCCTCCCTGTCACCTACTTGGAGACTCTTACTCTCTTTGTGCTTTAGTTTTAAATTTGTAAGCTAAGTTTTTGTCTTTGTCTCGCAATACAGGGGACGTACTTCTGACACCAACCAGAATCTACAGTCGCTCACTGTTGCCTGTCCTGCGCTCGGGACATGTCAAGGCCTTTGCCCATATTACTGGTGGAGGACTCCTAGAAAACATTCCCAGGGTCCTCCCTCAGAAATTCGGGGTGGAGTTAGGTAAGATCACCAAAGGGAACTTGTGTTCAGAAAACCTGGGGGAAAAACACATTATGGGGCACGTGTGATTATTTGGAGAAAACTCTTAGTCATTGGCTGTTTAAAGGGGAAAATTGAGCTGGCTCTATTCTGCCTTTTTTTCCTTCCTTAGCAGTGCTTATAAGGCATAAAAATCTCACATAATTGGCTTGTATAAAATGAAGTGCTCTGAGAGGACCTCCAAGAGGGTTGGTAATTTCCAGCTCTAGCCAGCTGGGTGGAGAAACATGCTAGGAAGGGAAGTGGTAGACATTTAAGTAGTTCATGAAGGAAATAAAGAGGCCGCAAACCAAGGTATAGAGGAGGGAGGCAGGGTTGAGTCATTTTATACTTAGAACGAAAAATAAATTCCAAGTTTTTGTTGAGCAGGTGAGTAGATTGTAAGGTGTTCAACAAGAGAAAGAGTGCGTTTGGAATAGGAAGTGGAAAGACAGTTTGGTTTTGGTTTTGTTTTGTTTTTTTAAGGTTTATTTATACATACAGAACTGGGGTACAGATCAGAGGTGTGGGGGTAAGAGGATTCACCATAGTCAATGGGGAGCAGGACAGACATATTGAAATCCACTGCTGAGGGGAGCAGCAGCGAGACATGAGAGGTCTGCCAAGCCATGTGGGTCACCCCCCCGGGGTCAAACTCATGCTGCAGTGGCTGTGATAGCTTCATAATGCCCTGCTTTAACCCACTGCGCCATCAGAGAAGGACCAGAAAGACAGGATTTCAAATCTTCACTGTGTTCTTTACACTAAGTCTAGAAGCCAAAGCTGAGAGCAGTCAGCCTGAAGAGAGCTGGGTACTCACATGCAGATAGTAGTTCAGCCAAGAGATGGGGTCACAGAAGGTTGTTCCTTGGTGTTCTGTCCATCTTAAAGGTTGACAGAGGTAAAACTAATACAGAGAACAGTCAGAAGCAAAGAGTAAACCATGTGAAACTATGATTAACAACCCAAGGAAGGATTTGGGTGTTTTTAGTTTTGTTTTTAACATTTTAAAAAGATAGGATTAGGCCCTCCCTGGTGGCACAGCGGGTTAAAGCACAGCACTGAGAATCTGAAGCCACTTCCGCATGAGTTCGATTCCCGCCTGCCGCCTGCCCTGGAGGAGACCACATGGCGAGCCAGACTCTCCTGGCCTGCCCGCTGCTTCCCTCAGCAGTGTACTTCGTAGATCTGCCTGTTCTGCTCCCCACTCTGTCTCTGGTGAAGCCTCTCACCGCCCCTGAGTCTCTGGCCTGTACCCCATTTCTGTATGCACAAATAAATAAATAAATTTTTTAAAAAAAAAAAAAAAAAAAAGATAGGATTATAGGGAAAGAGCCCCCAGGGAAGGACTTAGCCGTAATGCTGGTCAGTTGTCAGACGCAGAACAGAAATCAAAGATGAGGACCAGAAAGAGGCTAGTATAGTCTAGAGTTGGCTCAAAAGCATTTTGGTTTGAGGGTAGATAACCTCACTGCAGCATCACTGGGGGAGTGACTGGCAGAGATAGAAGACAGTGAATGGAGGTTTCTGTCTGAAGAAACCCATTGGTAAGAGAGGGTGGGGTGTAATGACTTAGACTCATGGCAGAAGGAAGGAAGGAGTTTCTGCCCCAACACCTGTTTTTGTTTGTTTTTTAAGATTTATGTATGCATACAGAACTAGGGTACAAGCCAGAGGTGCCAGGACAGTGAGAGGATTCACCTGAGACAGAGTGGGGAGCAGAACAGGCAGATCGACCAAGTACACTGCTGAGGGGAGCAGCGGGCGGGTCAGGAGAGGTCTGCCGCACCATGTGGGTCACCTCCGGGGCCAGGGATTGGACTAGCACTGAGGCGGCAGTGGCTGGCTTGCAGTGCTGCGTCCTGCCCTATTGTGCCACCAGGGAGGGTCCCCACCACTGTTTATTTCATAGAGTAAAAGTCAGGCACTGCCCCAACCAGATACTGTCGTCAGTCAACATATATTGTTTGAGGGACTGGAAACTAGTGCTCAGAGTAATGCCTTCGCCGCTCTTGAAGTCATGAGAGCTTGGGGAGATGAGCAGACCTGAGTGGCAGCTTGAGGGGGAGTAAATAATTAAGCACTCAAGGTCAGAAACAGCAGTGACAGTAAAACCAACGCTGTTTGATTTCCCTCCCAAAGTCGGCATAGACAGCTTGAAACACACAGAAGCTGATTGTGTAGGTCCGGTTGGGCGAGGCGGATGGAGAGGTGGGCTGTGTGGGGAAGCATCTATGTCTAGTTTGACTGAGCTAACCCAGGGTCTGAGAGGGAAGCTAGTGAAGAAACAGTGAGGTATGCTTCAAGAGTGGTCTGGTGTGGGGTTCAGCCTTGCCAGGGGCGCCAGAGACAAGCTGGGCTGAGTGGATTCCTCCTTAGAACAGTAGGAACTTGAAGGGCCCATGGGATTAAAATCAAGGCTTAGGACATTGCTGGGATACGCCCTTTCCAAGCAAACACAACATCTTAGCCAAGCGTTCCTTCCTCCGCCCCTTCACATCACTAAAAACTAACTTGCTGAGCAGTGGGAAAGACAAGCCATAATTTAATATATGCCGGTGCCGCTTCTATCCTGGCAAATTTTTGCATAACCAATTCTATCTAATGGCCTCTGCTGCCTCTGTCACGTATCTCTGCTTAAAAATAGCAAAATGGAGCTCAGGAAGTTGAGAATTCACATAGCCGTATTCCTAAATGCTATTCTGACTTGAATTACACAAATGTCTGTGTCCCAAATGAGAATGAAAGTTGGTCCCTTGTGCCTTAGCCTATGAACTGTCCTCCAGGAATCATACCTTGACATCAGATTAAGCCTCAGAGTTATAATTTGCTATATTATGCATAAAGTACTGGGTTATTTGTAGAAACTACTGTTGGTCTTCCCCCCCCCCATAAATACTTTGTAATAGAAGTTTTACTGAATTAGATTGTATTATTATGGCTTTACCACTCATATTGCACTTGACTCGTGACTATTGATAACATAGCGAACACCATAGCAGCTTTTGATCTCAACTTTGAAAACGGGACATTTCTTAGCAATTAAAAATGAACTGAACTGATAGAGAAGATTCTAGACACATGACACCTTCTCAGAAATGCAATAGTTCCATAACATTAAAAACTGTATTATCCTACAGATAAAGTAAATCGTGGGGACTGACAGTCAACCTCATTATTTAATAAAAAGATGTATCCACGGTGATTTTATTAAATACTTAACTTTCCTAAGTCAGAATCCATAATTGTAGATTCAGAAAAACTATGCTGGTTATTTTATTCAAGAAATATAGGTCTTTACCTGTATTTATTCATTAGAAACTTTTGTTGTGTTATATATGAAAATAAAGGATATGCTCTTATAATAGACTTCACAGTGTGATTTAATGTGTGCATCACCTCTGACTCTGTATACTCACGCTAGTTTTACATCATATTTAGGGTGCATTTTAAGTCGTAGGCCAACATGTTCTTAGTCTGAGATACAAATTTGGACCCCAGGACGACTTCTGAAAGTCTCGTTTTACCCTGCATATAGTTGTGCTCTCCTTAGCTTTGTTCATGCGCGATGACAGGTGAATCTTGAGACTGGAGCATGACCCACTGCACCAACGAGGCACCTGGGGACAGGTTAATCAGACAACCTGCCTATTTTCAGATGCCCGGACCTGGAGGATCCCCAGAATCTTCTCATGGTTACAGAAGGAAGGACACCTCTCTGAAGAAGAGATGGCCAGGACGTTCAACTGTGGGGTTGGAGCTGCCCTGATAGTATCAAAGGACCAGACCAAGCAGATTCTCAGGGACCTTAAGCAGCTCAAGGAAGAAGCCTGGGTGATTGGCAAGGTGACTGCCTGTCCCGAAGGTAATCTCTGCTTAAGTGTGTCTCTTTAGGTGTGATCGCCCTGGCTCATACGCTCTGCCCACCTTTCCCTGGCCACTGCTGTGGCGTCTGTCTCACAGGAGTAACGTGATGGCGCCTGCTCCAGTAACGCTGCCTCCCTTTTCTTTTGTACTCTGGAGCAGTCTGACGGACAGGTGTACCCCGCAGAACGACGCTTTGCCACTGGGGAGAGAGCTAACCCTAAATAACCACTTCTAAAACAGAAGTAAGGGGTGGTTCTGAAGCTCAGTCTCCCTGACACCTTCGGGGATCCCGATGAAATTGGCCAGTTTAATAACACACTCTGCACTGGCTTTCACGTATCGCTCCCCAGATGTTGGCGCTGGTTACCTGAGATCACTAAGCTTGTGAAAATAAGACCTTGTCTCAGCACTGCTTTGCGGTCCAGCTCGGGTCATGGGTAGTGAGCAGACACCCTGACCAGTACTGTCACTTAGCACTGCTAGAAATGGCTGGTGGCAGAAGAGCCCCTTGGATTAGCTCAGAGCTTGTTGACTCTGTCTGCTTTTCTTTCCTTTATTGGGTAAGTTTCATTTTTAGGCAGGCTCCCCAAATACGGAGAGGTATCTTGAGCCCACATCCTTCAGCTCTTGTTGCAGTAAGAGAGGCCCTCTCTCACGCAACATCCTGTGTCAAGCCTGAATGCCTTGCTTGGGTCACATGCCTATGCTTGAGACCAGGAAGTCGGTGCACTGTTGTGGGTGCAAGAGTAAGGGTGGGGCCGCGTGGGGAGGGGAGTAGAAAACACTAGCAGGGGTAATGGGTCCACCAGATAGACCAGTTTTGTTGAAGTAGGTAAAGGCGTCCACCCTTGAGAACGTTTTTATGAATGAGTGCTGTGAATGCACACCTATTTGTGTTAGCCCCTCATATTTGATTTTCGTCATAAAATATAGTAGTAACCTAAAGTATATACAGTAATTTTTATGTACATCATTACTGTTGATTCATAATTTTTCTTTATTGGGTATGTTTGAAATGAAGGTTCTCATGTGAAAGTCAAGCATCTGATTGAAACTATAAAAATAAACGGATCAGTGCTGGAGAATGGCGCCCAGCTGGGGAACGGGACCCTGAAAAACCATTTGTCTGTCCAGTCAGAAAAAGCAAGAGTGGCTGTCTTAATATCTGGAACAGGTGAGATGTGACTTTCTCTTTACTGTAGAGCTATAAAAGCACCCTTTCCTTCCTCTCAGGCCCCCCAAAAAGCCGGCAGATGGTGAGGACGTGCAGTAGAATGGGCGATTGTGGGGTCATTGAAGAGTGCTGTCTTCGCTGTAGCCGTGGTCTTCCGCTTTGCCACGGCATTCTTGGCGCAGTTCCGGAGGGCAGAGGGAGGGTGTAGGAAGGATGCGTGAGGGAATGCCCGCGGGTGAGACCCCAGGTTTAGTGACGTAGCTTTATAACTGAGGTCTGTAAACAATGAAGGACGGTTTGGTGGTGGTAGTGCTTTTTAAAATTTTTTCCATTGTTACAGTTAATAGAGGTACGAATGTTCTCTTAAATATGCAGTGTGTCCCTAAGTACATACCTGATTTTTCTTTAGGATACATTTCGGAGAGTGTAATTGCTTTCTGGGATCCTTTGTTTGGGTTTGTCTTTTGTTGATCAGATGGGTGAGGCAGGTTTTTTTTCAGAGCTGTATTTACTCAGATATTATTCACATAGTTTACTGTTTAAACTCTACAGGTCAGTGATTTTTGGCATCTTCACAGAGTTGTACAAGCAAAGGTAGAAGTTCATTTTAAGATTTTGGTCTGCTGTGGCCCAAACTGGCCAAAGATGATTGCAGAGCAGAGAGCCTACTGTCAAGGCCACCGTGTGAGCTTGCATATGTTTTTGCTCTTTTTCCAGGGTCAAACCTTCAAGCGCTCCTGGAGAGCACGCAGGAGCCGAGCAGCTCTGCGCGCATTGTCGTTGTTATCTCCAACAAAGCTGCAGCAGCCGGGTTAGGAAAAGCAGAGAAAGCAGGAATTCCCACCAGAGTGAGTCATGTGGGAAACGTCTTGTTCTTGGATCCTATACTTGAAATCTGCTGTCTTCCCAGAACCTGGGTGACTGCAGCTTCCAAAAAGAACTAAGTATGACATGTGTAAAGGTCAGGCCTTAAATTATTGTTGGTAATTTGTTGAAAAAGACTCTGCTTATCTTTCATTTACAGGTAGTTAATCATAAATTATATAAAAGTCGTGAAGAATTTGATGATACAGTTCACCAAGTCCTTGAAGAGTTCTCCATAGACATAGTCTGTCTTGCCGGATTCATGAGAATCTTGTCTGGCCCCTTTGTCCGGAAATGGAATGGTAAGCAAAATGGTTGGATACCACATCGAGAAGTCAACTGAAAACAGGTTTAGAGGATGCCTGGCTTGCCACACAGTCCCAGTCATGAGTATTTACTGTGAATTTTTTTTTTCTTTTTTTAAGATTTGTTTTATTTATGTATAGAAGAACTGGGGTGCAGGCCAGAGGTGCAGGAGGGTGAGAGGATTCACCAGAGACAGAGTGGGAGCAGAACAGGCAGATCTACTGCAATACACTGCTGAGGGGAGCAGCAGGGGAGACAGGCGAGTTCTGCTGTGCCTGGAGTGGGTCAGTTCCCTGGCGGGGATGGACCTCAGGCCACAGAAATGACAGTGCTGAGACTTAACCCCTAAGCACCAGGGAGACCTTCACCAGAGGACTTAGCATTCTGACCATTCTGATTTTATTAATTTCCAGGGAAAATGCTCAACGTCCACCCATCCTTACTCCCTTCTTTTAAGGGTTCAAATGCCCATGAGCAGGCTCTGGAAGCTGGAGTCACAGTAACTGGATGCACTGTGCACTTTGTAGCTGTGAGTATGTCCAGATACAGTACACCAGATACTGTCAATGTTTGTTGCTCTGGTTAGAATATAATGTTCAAATTTTTGCATCCTTTTCCAGGAAGAAGTAGATGCTGGACAAATTATCTTACAAGAAGCTGTTCAAGTGAAGAGGACTGATACCGTTGCAACACTGTCTGAAAGAGTAAAGTTAGCGGAACATAGGATCTTTCCCAGAGCTCTAGAGCTGGTGGCCAGTGGAACTGTACGGCTTGGAGAAAATGGCAAGATCTGCTGGGTCCAGAAGGAATAAGAGCCAGTTTTGAAAAAATGTTTGCATAGTAGCTTTATCACGGATTCAGCCTTTCCAAAACAGATTCTAAGCAGGAGAGTGTGTGCAAACATTGTAAAAGGAGGATCCCCTCTGAGCGCAAACGGCAGCAGTGCAGAAGCTCCCGGTGCTACTGTTTTGTGTTGAATGAACTTAGGCCCCCTCTGTGTCTTCTTTCCCGTCTCCTGGTGAAGAAATCAGGTGGTGTTCCACCGACCTGAACTCCCGCTGGTCGGCGCTGTCAGCGATCCCACTGCCCAGTGTCCTGTGCAGAGTCCATGCCGCTTTTAACCCTCTATAATAGTTGTCTGTGCTCCATAATCTTTATAGTGCCATGTGTTTGTAGCTTCGTAGCTTATTTTCATGACTAAGGTAGTGATGACTAAGGTAGTGTTAACTAAGTTTTCCAAAGACAGCTGAAGAACTGCACCCCCTTCTTTGGCATGGTCATTTAAGCAAAACTGACGCCATGTTCCCAGGCTTGGCTGGCCTCGCAGGCAGGCTTTTGGGTTTTTACTTGTTAAGAACATTCTCAGTCGTCCTCAGGCCAGTCATTCAGAATTCCTTTCCCTTTTAGTCAAAGAAGATAGCCAATTCTTAGTCCTCTTTGTTTTTCGTAGCTGACCACTCCATTTTTTCAGCTACATGTTTGTTCTCTAATCTCTGAAAAGCTAGCCAGTTAGTCTAATGAGCTAATCTCTTTCCCCATGTTGTGCACCAGAGTCAAACAGAACTTTACATGTCAGTCATACTGTCTGTGTTCCTCACTATTAACTGAGGCAGCTGCCTGTCATGTAGTTGTTTTGATAATGTGATGTGCTATGAACAATTCTTGGCATGGAGTGGACACAAAAGATCTGCATCTATTTCTGAGTTCCTCCTGTTTTGATTTGTTATTCAGTAACTCCAATTTGAACACAAGATACATCGAGAGCGGTAATGACGCATGTCGGCATGTCGGAAGTGGCAGCAAGGGGGCGTTCAGATACATCACTTCACATCGGGCCCTTGGTTTTAAAAACAGTTCACTCATGTCTTCTGGAGACTTCACTCAGCCTGGATAAGCACCTATTACATCAATGTCAGGCATTGTCCATGAAATCTGTAGAGAGGAAAATGTTACTGGTTGATCCAATCACATACTATAATAAAAATAGAGGCTGGTACCAGGATATGGTGGGGAAGGGGAATCAGAACTTATGACAAGAAATAAAATTTCCCAGGCCTGCCTTTAATATTAATCTCCACTTAAAGAAACATGAGCTGCATATCTTGGGATAGGGGGAATAAAAATGTGTCTGAAGTAGTTTGATTACCCAAAAACTTGAAAATAGCAGGAATGACAAGCGGACAAAGGAGGTGGCTTACAGGGAGTCCCTACAATGCAGTGCGTGAAGAATTGAGTCTTGCTTAAATTGCTGAGTTTGTAGATGGTCGTCAGTTCATGGTACTCAAAGATGAAAAGCCATTTAAGTTACGCATGAATAGTCATAATGCCAAAAGAACAAGATGTTGATTTTTTTTAATGCAGTTGATACAGATATTTGTCTTTTATTGTAGATGTCTCTCTAGGTCTATAAGCAGGAATAAAACAACCCCATCATCACAGATTGTTTCCAGCCAGAAAGATGTGGGGTCTGACTTACACAACCTACAGATTGCTTTCAGCCCAAAAGATGTGGGGTCTGGCTGTTACACAACCTTGCTGGTTACACAGCAGTTGTAAAGATTCAAGTGTGAGTCCCAAAATAGGCCAGATGTTCTGAAGAGGAAAGTTACAATTTCTAAGAAAGCTCATGGTCTCAATGCTTACCTACTGCCTTTATAAGCTTTTGACTCTCAGGCACAGTACCATTTCATTTTAATAAAGCTTAGTTGCTGATACACAACTAGTCTTGTTTCTTTTCTTCCCCCTTCAAGAATTTTCTTGGCTGTTTTCCTCCCTGCGAAGCAGCCCAAGTCACGCCCCAGAGACATGAGCAAGGATCGCTGTTCCCATGGGCAAGTCGGGCTCTGTTGGCCCCACTTCAGTGGCCACTGCTCCCACAAATGAAAATGTATTCTGCTTGTGTCCCTGGGTCTCCCGAGCTGCTCTCGGACCAGGGGTCAGTGAGCTGCATTTTGCCATCTTCCTTCCACACTTTTAAAACAATCACTGGTAGTCATTCTACCACAAGCCCTGTAAACCATACTGTTACCACAGCATACGGCCATTTGCCTTATGGAGACAGTTGGCGAATAAACATTGAGAAATGCGTTCATGAGTAGAAACTATTCAAGTGCCATTCCACTAATGGCATTGCTAGTTAAAGTGGCACAAACATACAACGGTTCTAGTCAGGAAAGCGACCTAAGTTCATTAGTAACACTGACACTCTGGCTGGGAAGAGGGATGTTGGGAGGGGAAGGTACTCGTATGAGGAAGGGGATATGTGGGAACTCTACCTGGTGATTTTGCTGTGAAAATAATTTTTAGGGCCTTCTCAGGGGGCGCAACAGGTAGGACGCAGCACGGCAAGCTCACCACAGCCGCTTCAGTGCGCGTTCATCCCCGCCCCGGAGCTCACCCATGGGACACAGCAGACCTCCTGTCTCCAACTGCTCCCCTCAGCAGTGTATTTCACTCGATCTGCCTGTTCTGCTCCCCACTCTGTCTCTGGTGAATCCTCTCACCCTCCCCCGCCCCACACACGCGCACTGACCTACACCCTAGTTTCTGTATGCATAAATAACATTTTAAATAAATGTTTCTTTAGGTAACTTAAAAAGGGAAGAAGTGCTGGTATGGACAGCCTCCAGCATGAACTGGTGAAACTTCGTCAGTAAAAGAATCCAATCACATAGGACCACAGACTGCATTTACAAGGAGAGTTCAAGACAGGCAGCCGCACGGGCCAGGTTAATAGTTTGCACGGGCCATGAGGACAGGTATTTAAAGGTGATGACAGAAAGGCGCAGACTTCTTTTTGGGCAATGAGAATGTTCTAAAACTGATTGTGTACCACCCTCTGAACATGCCCAAGCCAGTGAATTGTATACTTTAATTGGATTTATATAGTATTCCAAACAAAAAAAAAAATCCATTACCACAATTTCTTTGTCCAGTTGATGCATTTGATGTTGATGGATTTAGGTTGGCTCCACATCTTGGCTGGAGTGAGCAGAGCTGCTATGAACACAGGCGTGCACAAATCTTCTTACACTAGCATTTTCAGGTCTTTGGATGGAAACCTAGAAGCAGTATTGCTGGAGCATATGGTATTCCATTTTTTTTGGTTTTTAAAGACTCTCCATGCTAGTCCCATAGAGGCTGCACCAATTTTTACATTCTCCCTAACATGATCTTGGACTTTTAACTTCCAGAACAAGAGGAAATAATTTCTGTTGTGTAGGCCTACTGGTCTTTGGTACTTTGTTACTGCAGCTCTAACAGACCAATACAGTAAGTTTCTTTGATCCTCATATATTCCTCCTGTGGAACTCTGGAATTTCTATTCTCTAAATTGGTTCCTCCCAGAAAAAACTTTTTAAAAAAAGATTTATTTATTTATGCATACAAGAACTGGGGTACAGGCCAGAGGTCTGGGAGGTGAGAGGATTCACGGGAGACAGAGTGAGGAACAGAATGAGGCATTGACTGAAATACACTGCCTACGGGAGCAGTGGGGAGACAGGAGAGGCCTGCTGTGCCATGTGGGTCACCCCCTGGCTGGGGATCTAACTCATGCTGTGGTGGCTGTGGATAACTTCAGAGTGCTTAACCCCTTGTGCCACCAGGGAGGCCCCTGGATTTCCACCTCTTACAGAGACACCAGTCAGACTGGGTTGGGGCCCCCAGCCCCCGTAGGGATCCGTCTCCTGGGCTCCCTCTTGCATGTTGGCTGCTGTTCAGTGTCCTCTCTGGCTCCTCCTCTTCTCCCTGGGGTCTGAGTGAGAGTCTCCCACCGATATGCCCTCCAGTCCACACACACAGGTGACCTATGTCAGCTACACCCAAACCCCGCTAAGTCCCTAGGGCCTCATTTTAACTTAATCATCTCTCTCTGGGGGGAGAAGAGGTAGGGTGGGAACAAAGGGGTGAGGGGCCCAATGGCCTAGGGCAAAGGCTACTGTGGGGGAGGGGAGAGGGAAGGGAGTGACATGCTTCTGGAAAGGTGTGAACTTTATTTCCTTAAATCATATTCAGTGGTGCACACCAAAGTTACCTCAGTAAAGAAGATAAATAACTTCCTTAGCACTGAGTTATCTACTCAGCTTTCCATACCCAAACTAATTTTCAGAAATGAAACAGATATGAAATAAATGTCTAAGCTTATAAAATAGCAGATTATCTTCCAACATATGTTCTCTGATTTCAACATTATTGGACAAATATTCTGTTCACAGTTAGGAGAACTTGTGCTTGACAACAACCATTTCCACTGTGGAACAGAATGTAGTTAAATTCTGTACCTCAAATTGTAGTGGCTAAGATTAACCTGAAGTTGTCATTGGCAGAAGAAAAAAAATATTAGCTGTCCAGTTTCAAATCAAAGGCATTTGCTTCGATAAAAATAGAGCCCTGCTGGGTGGTCCAGGGGTTAAGTCAGCACTATGAAGCCGTCCAAAGTTGCTGCCACACCAGTTCCACCCCTGGCCAGGGGGTGCAGCAGACCTCTCCTGTCTCCCCACTACTCCCCTCAGCAGTGTGTTTCAGTAAATCTCCCCACTCTGTCTCAAGTGAATCCCCTTTGCTCCCACTCTGTCTCTGAGCCTCTCACCCCCCAGCACCTCTGGCCTGTACCCGTTCTTGAGTTCATAAATAAATCAATCTTTAGGGCCCGCCCCGGTGACACAAGGGGTTAAATCTCAGCACTGTGAAGTAATCCACATCCTCTTCAGTATGAGGTCAATCCTGGTCAGGGAGGCGACCCACAGGCACAGCAGACCTCTCCTGTCCCGCCCACTGCTCCACTCAGCCATGTACTTTGCCAATCTGCCTGTTCTGCTCCTCAGTCTGTCTCTGGTGAATCCTCTCACCCCCCAACCCGCACCCCTGGCCTGTACTCCAGTTCTTGTATGCATAAATAAATAAAATCCTAATAAAAAATAATAAAGAGCATTTTGAGGTAGAGGCTTTTGGGGGAGGAACACTCAGCACTGGGCCCCAGCAGTCAGCAAAGGTGGGGACAGGGAAGAGGGTGGAGGTTTTTCTGCATATTTGCTTTTTTAGAACTACCATCAACTTTCAAGTTACAAATTCAAGACGCAGCTTACATTTCTTATCCTTTTGTTGATAAGTTTAGCAAACAGGAGCCATCATGAAAAGAACTTTGGTTAATGCTTGATTCCTTTTGTCACCAGAAATCCAGCATCTGGTGGCCTGTCCCCACCAAATGTCAATAAAGCAGAGACCGGAACTTAGTCTTTAAGGTGTGCTTGCATCAGAACCAGCAATCTGGAAGACAGGGGTTACAACCTAAGAAACTGCCCTGGCATTTCACTTCCTGCTGGCTTTGTCTAGGGCGTTAAACAAGGACAGTTGCTCAGAAGCAAGCTGGCCTTCAACTCCGGTTCATTGGTGACGTGGAGCCGGGGTTCCTCATGACCCTCCCGGACATCTGGGCCCTCCCCCGCCCAGTGTGCTGAGTCTGGTCGCTGGCCAGGGCTTGTCCCAGCATTCCTCTAGATGTGTCCTTGGCTGGAAAAGGAACTCAAGGCAGACAGCCCAGAAGCAATGTGTGTGCAGCTCCCCTACTCTGCCTGCACAGCACCCCACCTGCTCCCCCACCCACACCCCCATCGCTTTTGACAGATGAAACCATTTGAAACTGAACTTGAAGTTCTAGACGTGTTTTCCTTTCTCTTCTATTGTCTGAAAATAGAAAGTCTGGATATTACTCTAATAGAAACTTTTTTGGAATGATGATTTTTAAAAAAGATTTTGTTTTTGTGCAGAAGAAATGGGGTGTGGGCCAGAGGTGAAAGGGGTGAGACGATTCACCAGAGAGGGGGAGCAGATCATGTGGATTCACTCGAGTACTGTTGAGGGGAGCAGCGGGGAGACAGGAGAGGTCTGCTGTGCCCTGTGGGTCACCTCCCTGGCGGGGGATCGAACTCGTGCTGCAGGGCTGCTGATGGCTTCACAGTGCTGTGTGTCATCCTGCTGCATCACCAGGGAGGGCCCTGTTTCTATTTTTAGCTTTCTTATTACCAGCTGTACTTGACATGTAACACCACACCTAGTTGGTGTACAACACGGTTTGCTCTCTGTGTGTACTGTGACATGATACCACCACCACTAGCTGTGAAGGACCAAACTGGGTTTTTCACAAGAAATGTCTCTCAACTGAGTTTATACTAGGTGGCCATCAAAGGAGTTAGCGCAGTAGGTACCCCCAAATAATCAGCTCCCCGAATAACAGGAGTGCGTATTTTACAAGGGAGAAGAAATGTAAGAGGAATGCAGTCTTCACATTTCCAGGTCCGAGGAGGGGC